TTTATGTTTCTGGTTTCCAAGCTCATAATTAGTGGGATTAAAGGAGTTCAAGCAGCCTGTATTTAGAGTGTGACTTAAATTTTCAGCAACATGGCAAGCTTTTATTATGCCTTTATTATGGTTTTGTTTCAAATAGAGTAATTCAGATCATTAACTTCTAATGTTGCCCTTTTTTTTAAGCTACCTTGCTGATAGGTTTAGCTTCTACTTGCTTAATGATAGTTAATAGAAAGGCTAAAGATGGTTTAATTATTCCAGGCATTTGATGAGGCTATTGCAGAACTTGATACACTGAACGAAGACTCATACAAAGACAGTACTCTCATCATGCAGTTGCTTAGAGACAACCTAACAGTAAGTTGCCTTTTTATGTGCTATCTGATTCTTTAACCGTGTGTTTGATTAGTTAGACTGAATTTGTGATTAACAAAGCCTTTCTTTCACTCTAGTGCAAAGCATAGCACTGACTCAGGCTGTTTACCTATGATACCTTTTCATAACTTAGTTTTAATGTTGCTGTCAACTTACATGTTGTTCATGCTGTGTAATCTGGAATAACAGCTTGAGTAGCTCACATTCTTCCTGGTTTGATGGCCTTCTCAGTGGAAGGGAGAAGGGGCATTCAGCTAACCTAAAGTACAAGATGAGGCAAGGAGTTAAACCACAATAATCCATGATCTGTCAGGGATTCATCTTCAGACTTTTTTGATGACTACCTCAAATCAAAAAGTTTTTCCTGTTGTACATCCAGTGTAGCTTGCTTGATTCATTGTCCTGATTTTCTTTTAAAAGAACTGAAATTTCAATGTATTAAGAATAAAATCAGCTGATGTTTGAGTATGTTATTGTAAGGATTAACTATTTAAGAAAAGTGCCTAATGGAACAACTAGGTTCTATTAAAATAGGAAACTAAGACAATTTTTCAAGGAATATCCTCTCTGGATATTCACTGTATTTAAAATTATAGCAACATTTGTTATTTTCCAGTACTCCTTCAGTAGAAATGTCTGTTGTTAGCAGTATGAAGTGCTTAGCTTCGATAACCAAAATGCAGTTTACACTTCCAGGATTCAGACTGCTGTGTTTGAAATGGAAGTTACCTGTGAAGCTGCTGTTCAGGCTTGTAGAATGCCCTGGGATTGATGGCACAGCTTGCTGTTAAACACAAAAGCTAGAGCTGTTTAGAACAGTTTGCTCTGCCCCTCTACCTGAGGGCATAGCTGGTTGGGCACAGCTGGTTGTGCCCTGTGCGCAGGGAGCTCTTTCCGGTTACCTCTCTCCCGGCAAGTACCGAAGCCAGGGCTGTGCAGTGCCAGTGCACTGGTACTTTGTAGAGATCCTTAAGTCTAATTCATTACCCTTTCCATACAGTTGTCACTTTTTGGAATTCCAGCTGTGCTTCTGAAAGCTGATATCGTTTTTCTCTTCTTTCTAGTTATGGACATCAGACAGTGCAGGAGAAGAATGTGATGCTGCAGAAGGTGCAGAAAACTAAACTGCACGTGGGGCGTCATTCTCCCTTTCCTTCTCAAGAAACCTTTTTACACGTCTCCATTCCTTATAGCTCCACTTGGATTTCCTATAGCAAAGAAAACCCATCCATGTGTATGGAAATCAATTTATAGTCCTTTCACACTGCAGCTTTGGGAAAACTCCATTCCTTGATTTGTGTTTGTCCTGGCCTTCCTGGTGTGCGGTTACTGCTGTAGAAAAGTATTAATAGCTTCATTTCATATAAACATAAGTAACTTCCAAACACTTATGTAGCGGACTAAAGTGTACCTGGTATTTAAAAACAAATCTGAACCAGTTCCTGCCAGTTGACTGTGTTTTGTATTACAGTAAGATATGAAAATGTAGTTAATTGCAACTAAAGAGTGTTCCACATAGCATTTAATTCTCCACATTCCCTTCTTATTCTGCAGGGTTTCCTTTCCATAATTGACTTTCACATGCTACTGTGTATTCATTTCAGTAGGAATATGGAAGTACTGGGCCAGATCAAGTTGAGCATTTAAAGTTTGGAAAATCATAAATTGAGTTGCTTCCCGTATCATGTAATACAGAAACTTGTGTGTTCGAAAACAGGGGCTTCTCTTAATCTTCAGTTGCTGCTGTTTAAGTTGATATCCCTTCCCAATAAAAGTTCACTTACACTCCTGCCTTTGTAGTTCTGGTATTCACTTTACTATGTATTAGAAGCAGCATGTTACTGCTGGAGTACAGGCAGTGCTTTTTGGCAGACTGAAGTGCATGTCATTTCTTAATACACTGGAATGGGAAAACCAATTGAAGTTCACATGTCCAAGTATAAAATTTAGTACTTTTCCATGCAGGTTTGTGCACATGTGAGAAGGTGTCAAGTTTGTCCAGTGATTGTTAGAGAGTTTGGACCACTATTGTGTGTTGCTAATCATTGATTGTAGTCCCAAAAAAGCCTTGTGAAAATGTTATTGCCCTCTGTAACAGCAAAGTAACATGAAATAAAATTACATTTTATAAACCACCTACTGTTGACTTGTAACAATTCCATGTAATAACTTAAGGGCTAAACTTAAATGTAAGTATATCTTGTGCTGGAAATGTCTCTCTCAAATTTATTGCATACTTTTAAAAAGTCTGCTCTTAATTGAACTCATTTTATGAAAATATCTTAGATAACTTTTCATAGTTAACCTGACATGTGGACTTCTTAGTAACTAAATCTACTAGAGGAAATTGCTTTACCTTAATAATGATCTAAGAAAAGAGAGCCAATTTCGTGATACTCTTTCATGGCTTGCAAATATCCTCATCTAAATTACACTTTTTTTTTTTTGGTAATCTATTGAAATTCTCCTCCCTGTTCTCCTGTTGTGTTTTTTCACTGATGGACATCATTACAGTATTCCAGCTACATGTCTAGTAATGCAGAGAAATTTGTTTGGCTCTAGAATGTTAGTTTGTGTGCTGCCACATCATAATATGCTTTCTGTTGTTCTTAGGCTGCTTTTAGTGTTACTGTGTTCCCCCATTTTTGGAGATTTTTGTAATAATATGTTGCTCTGCTTTTTCTTTTTTTTTTTTTTTTTTCTTTTCTCTCCTAGGTCACTTAAGTTTTTTTCCTAAACCTCTACCTCTTAGTTTCCCATTTTGGTGGGTTTTTGAAAATATTTAACTCCTATTAGTGTCCTGGCTACACAGGATATGACATTATGAAAAAGGGTATATTACTACTCCTTGCAGGCTTTTGATGGTACATTTTCCACCTTCCATGTTTTTGTTCATTCTTTGAGTGTGCACAATGAGTGTTTCTACAATAAAACTGTTCAGATTCTGTGCTTCAATTGACATGCATTACTTTAAAAAAAATTGTATCAATTCCATTTTCTTCATGCAGTCACTTTGAATTGCTGTCAAAGTATTGTGTGGCAGGACTCTACATAAACTCATATGCTTCTTAATCGGTGTTTTGGTTTCGTAATTTCTTACCCTCCCCTCTGCATTTCTTATTGATCCTTTATTTGTTTCATAAAGGTTTTTAGCTCCTAAATGCTGCCATTCTCTAGTAAAGCTGTTTGGGTACTGACATGTAGCAGCTTTTTCTGCCCATTTAAGAGTTTGCTTTCTTTGCTGTCTCTGGCTGCTGTCTTAGCTTGCACTACATTGTCAGCTAACGCTGTTCTCTTGTTTCCTTTCTTTTGCACCTTATCAAGGGAGTTGTCAATTTTCCTTACAGGAACAGGATCTGGGCCTTGTATCTAGATAATAGCTTAATTTATTAAATGCTCTTTTTGATGTTTATCAAGCTGGGCAAATTCTAGCTGCCTCTTGTTTGTTGCATGTACGTTTTACAAAAGGAGTCTTGAAACTGCAGTATCAGCATATGAATTTAAATAATAACAAATGCAGCATCATCTCATGGTGTTACTTCTAGAATTCTGCCAAATATTTGTATTGTTTTGAAGGAGAGAGGTAATGAAACATGTAGGGGAATGGGATGATAGTACCAAAAAAAGGGATGAACTGTAATTCCCTAAATGACTTTGCCTAGCCTTTCCCTCCTGGGTAAACTCCTTTATTAGTACAATACCCAGACAAATTAGGCACATTCATCTGGTATTATGGTTTCCAGCTCCAGGAAATAATTTGCAACAGGTTTGGATCCTGCCCCACAGCACGTAAGGACCTGCCCCACAGCTTAGAAACACTGCACAGACTAATGCTGCAAATTCTGAACTCTGCATCTTCTTTGCAAGCCAGACACACGATTGACAATACGATCTAAGGCACCTCAGTCAAACAATAGCATATTGTTAGAGTAAGGATGGGATTTTCATATGTTGAACATGGTTGTAAAAGTAAACCCTGTGGGGCACAGTTACTGCTGCATCTCTGCAGTAAATTTCACAGTACTGCGTTAATCATCTCAACTCCCTTCTTAGTATTTTCAGACTATTAAATAAAACCAAATTCTCACTTTTCTGCCATGTGAGTGATGGCAGTAGAGATGGTAGTTCATGCTAAGCCACTTCTGAGGTATTTCTGTTATAACTCAGCAAAACCTGGGGTTTGTACTTGATTTCTCAGGATCTTTGTTAAAATGAGTAATGTCAGCAAAGACTTCTCTCCAACTCTAGTTGCAGTATTCTCTATGATAGCCAGCTACTTGTTACACTGGAGCCACGTTCATTTATGATTCTGTAAAACAAACAGAGCACTCGCTCCTTCGCACATAACTTTGTTCTGTGCAGTACAAAGGAATGTGGGGAGACCACACTTAAGTTTGGGTTTGTGGGAGTGTTTTGTTTGGAATTTCTTGGGGGGCTTTTTCTTTTGTTTTTTGGGGGGTGGGGATTGAAGGCTTTTGCCATAAACACACCAAAGAGCTAAAAAAAAGCCAGTAGAAATGTTGATTTGGGTAACCAGAATTGACATGAGCATACAAAATACACTGTTTAAGTTTAGTGTGCTTACACACTTGGATTAATTTATTCCTAACATTACTGGAAGACTACAACTTTGAGATCCCAGTTGTACAGCTGAAATCCCAGACTTGTGTAACAAGAACTAACTGCCCTCTTTTGTGTGAGTGTGGCTAGATGACACGGCTGCTGAAAGCTCCAGCAATTACAGCTTGGCCAGCTTTCAGATGAATAAAATGCCAGTGTGGGAAGGGTGAAATGTTAGTACCAGCTTTGGATTACTGCCATGATATTTTCCACTATGAAGACTCCAACTTCCTAGAGGGAATGCTTTGTTGTCTTCTGCCAGAATCCTTAAATCAGCAAATATTGACAATTACATCTGATTATAAAAGTGTAGCCTGAAACTATGTCATTAAGTATTTTAAAACATCTGTATATGCAAACTTTTAAAGGGGAGTTTGTCTGTAGTGTAGGATCTGTGAGTTGACATCAGTGTAAGAATCCCTGAGCGGAGATTCTGTAAATGCCATTGGAAGTAGCTCATAAGCTCTTTTATTGCAAATTATATTCTCAGTTGTCCAATCTCTTTGCTTAGTTATATCCTCATTCCTGCTGTTGTTGTCATTGTAAAATCCCTCTCCTTTGGAAACAGAGTTTGTAAAACCTGTTTGGGGGGAGAAAGGTGGGGCTTCTTTAGGCCTTGGCTTCAAATCACATATGGCTGCTGATCTTGTTATTGCTGAGCAGATGCTGGGTATTTCCAGTTTGTTGTAAATCTGTTGGAAACAATGAAAGGAGCTCGTTACAGCCCTGTGAGAAGGAGGAAAAGGAGAGGGAGAAGAGATATCTGTTTCTATGCTCTGAATTACTTAAATTGTGCTCCCCAAGGAAATCTGGTGTGTATGGCCAGGGAGCAATACAGTTTGGTCTCAGCAGTAACTACTAAAGCTGTACATTATCGCATTCTTCACATAACTCAAGTCTTCCAAAGAGATTTTGTGTGAGTGTTAGAGATACTGAAGCCTCTGTAGTAATGGATGCATGAATTAGCCTGGTGAAATTTAAAAATTACATGCATTTCTATTCAGAGAACAAATTATGCCAGCATGAACTGGCAGGCAACAATGCTTTGGGGCTGTTTTATAAAATGGCAGAGTCAAGGTTTTGCCACTCTCACCCTTTCTGAAAAATCCAGACTCATATAAAAAGCTTCTTTTGGTCTGTTAGCATAATTTTGTTGATTTTAATGTATAGATGACTTAAATTCTATTCATACAGCTAATTTGATCAGAATACATGATCTGAACAAGATCATGCTATATGATTTAAAAGGTTTCAGTAGTTGGTGAACTTCATTCATGACTTAATTCACCTCTTAATGTTAGAACTAATCAGTTTAAATACAGGACCTTGAGAATATAATTCAATTTTCATAGATCAGGTCTTCAAGTAGGATTCACGCAGACATAGAATAGATACCCACGTGGGGGGGCCTTCAAAGTGTAGTTATTTGTTACTACATAGCCATGCCAAAATGCTTTAAATAAATGTTAGTGCTCACTAGGTATTGTGTCAAGTGGAAACTCTCATGCCAGTTTATTGCTGTTAAGCTTTGGGCTTGAGCGATGGTTGGTATTTTTATCTGTGGGAGGAACGGGAGGAAGCTCTCAAGAAGTAGCTGAGCGTCACTGGAGAAGTTTGTGTACGGTGGAATCCCAGCCAGGGACAACTGAAATGAGTCCATGTTTTTGCTATTCCATTTTGTCCCTTCCCCCAATTTATATCCCATCTGAGGCAGTTTAAATAATGCTCAGTGGAAGACAAAATGATGGTTTTTGCTAGGTCCACTCAAATTACTTACCAGCCTAGTTCAGAACTACTCTGCTGTGAAACTTCTGTTCCTACATGTGTTTCTAATGGTCTGGTTACTCTCCTGCTCTGCTCTACTCGAGCTGTCTTTGCCCACCCCTTCCTTTCTACCCTGTCCTTCCAAGGATCTGGAGCAAGGGCTGTGCATGCTAGATGGCCAGTGAAGAGACACTGTTCTCAAAAGCACAAATGGTTCTCATCTCTTGCACCTTGAAAATATTGCAGGAGTGGATGGTCTCTGCACCCATGTGCTGCAAGGTGTGTAGGATCCCAGAGGGGAGGAGATACAGCAAGATCATCACCACTGAAAGTGCATTTTAAGGCAGGAGAATAAAAAAAGTCCGTAGATCAGAGTAGTATTGAGTGCAAACTGTCTCTTATTATTATCTCCAGAGTGGAAAGAACTTAAAGTATCTTGTCACTTAAAAGAGAGATGTGTGGATGCTCAGAAGCATGAAGGTCTGTTCTGTGGTCAGGGCTGATAAAAGATGCTTGTAGCTCTGTTTATGTGCTGCTCCATTCTTCTGCAAGCAGCAAGACAGTTACATGCTGTTCTGTACCAAGAGCATATGGTCACCTCTAGTGGAGCTGTGGAATGTGATTGAAAACCAGCAACTTTGATAATAACAACAACAAAAATATTAAATTGTAGAAATAATAATATAAATTGTTGCTATGGAGAATAAAACCTTAAATGTGCCAGCCTAACCAATTGAAGACTTTTGCTTCAAAGTGGGACAACTTATGCTGTGGTTTATGTACTTAAAATAAGTCTGGAGGAGACTCCCTGGATCATCACATCCCACTCATTGCCATCACAGGCACTATACAGTATGTTTATCCAGGCTTGTATTTAGATTCTTTTCCTCGTTTGGTACTGGAAGCCTGTTCCAGGTCCTTGGCTTGCTGATAGCTAGAAATCCAAATAAGAAGCTTTCTCTTAGCTAGTTTATACCCACTTGTTTTCGTGTCAGTTCTGCCTGATGGCTAAAATCCAGTAAGCATTCTGCTGTCAGCAACTCTGCACAGAGGCATCTTAGATTAATAGATCTGAGTGCTCCAGGAACCTTTTGTGGTATGCAGGGATGGTAGGAGTTGCAGAGCTTCAATATATCTGTAACAGTAATTACTTTTCAGAGGCAGGTCCTAGTGCTGCACATCCTTTTGCTTAAGGTTTTGCTGATTATAGTGAGGATTCAGTTTATTGATGGTCTGCAATAGTTAGATTTGTATTTTGACAATGATTATTTGGTTGGTAAGGGGGGCAATTTGCTTTGGTGTGTGTCTGCAAAGAATTTATATTGCAAAGGGAAAAAACAGGTGAGGAAGGAGGAATCGCTAGTCTTGTTTTGATTGCCTAATAGAGTGATCTTTAACAACATGAGCATTGACATTTGAAAGGAATAAACATTGTATTTTCTTTCCAAATGGCTGCTCTTTATAAAGGTGGCTCACTTGTTAGTTCACTGTCTTAGAATATAGAAAGGAAATTTTGTTTATCTGTCTGTCTTGATTGATGGGTCAATTGCAAATATTATTTTTGTCCAATTAGAACCATAGAGGAGAAGGATGGATCATTTTTGTCAAAGGCACTTCAATTTTTAAAAGGTGCTCAAGCTTTCCAATGTGACATAATTTTTTTTTCAGCCAGATACAAATATGGAATCGATATCAGCATCCTGGAACTTCATGTTTTATTCCTTGCCTCTATAAATTTCACTTGTTGAGACAACTAGGCAGGCCCTGCTACTAATTAATAAACCACCAGAATGAAACAGTGCAGTAGGAAAGTAATGGGAAAGAAAACAAATTGACTGTTCAGTGGATTTGTAATACTGCAGCATGTTTCGTTTTTCTCTAACAATAGGAAATTGCTACACCCACAAAAGCTCTATAATTTAGTGTGTTCTCCTGTTAGTAACCACATCTTTCCTCATCAAGTGGAATCTAGAAGCCTGTTACTGCAACAAAACCGAGGAAAATTGTCACGTCAGAGCAGATCTAATCGTTATTACAGTAAAGTTTACACACACAAGCATCCAGAAAAGTCATGTCCCTGGGAACTCACACCTGGCATGCTAACCCTTTCATGACTGATGATTTTTGGGCAACCTTTGGTAACTTCAATGGCTACCTAAAACCATGGGGTAAAGCCCATTTAAATTAACACAAGGTCAAGCGTTATTTATGTAAAGAAATGAAACATAGTGTGCTCTGTGTACTTTAAAAGATAGGGAGGACGATAAGAACTTGGCAATGACTTCAGGGTTTATAGTAGAGATGGAATAACTCTGCCATCTCTTTATAGTCTTGCTGGAGACAAAAGGAAAAGCTATGTGGATTAATTTGAAGACTTGGTAAGGCAATTATAGAGAGAAACCTGTTTTATTCCTGAACTCTGAAGCACCTGAGAGCACTCTGGAGAAGGAAAAAAGGCATCTTTTACCAAGAAAATCTTATGCACTTGTACATGAGTTTGCAGTGGCTGTGGTCTTTTCACAAAAGATCTCTTCACAGAATATCTAGAGAAGACTTTACTCGTTTTGTCCTGATGAGCTTGTTTCTGAACTGCTGGGTTTCTGCTGAAGTTCTTTAAATGCTCTTGAATCCTGTCTGGTGAGAATGTTGCTGCAGGGTGAAGTTCAAACAAAATTCTCTAGTGCAGGGTGATGGTCTAAAAATGTAATTCCAAGAACTGATGTAGAAAAGCATAAGAATAAGGATGAGAATTTGTTGGCCAAAGGAAATGCTATAGCAAGGCTGAGCAGGGTTTGGAGAATCCCTGCCTAAGTTCAGAAAGTAAATCCTTAAACCAAACTACGTGGCCACATCTGGTAAAATAAAGCAAACAGATCCTTTGAGAAAGGAGACCAACCTCAGGGAAGTATTTGGATTGCCACTTACTAATGCAAACTATTGAATTTACTCAATGAGGACAGTGATGTAGTGGTAAAAGATGGGGGTTATTCATATTTGCAGGCAGTGTGGAAGTTAGTAATGCTAAAGCTGCTGAAAGGGAAGTAGTTTGCCATTTACTTATGTGTGAGTTCTATCACTGTTTTTCCACTTGTGTTTGCTATTTTTTTTTCCTTAGTAACCAATCCTGCTCTGTAGAGTCTGAGTGCTTGGCCATTCAGATGTTCTGCTGGAGGATGGGGATCAAGGCAGTCAGCTAGCACTAGTGCTGAGTCTCCTGATCACAGTCTGCTCAGAGCATCTCGAGTACTGGATGCTTCACTACTTACTGAACTAGTTGTTTGATCTTTTTAGCAGGAAACCTACTGTTTAATTTGTAGAATTGAGTCTAGAAACAATTTCCTATCCCAAATATTGCACAATTTTTCTATTAAAAGGTTTTTACCGAGAATGAAATTCTGAGATTTGCTTTTTTTCTTTGAAATTTATTTAAAATTGTTAGCTCTGATTCTCTCATTAAGCATTTTTGGCCAAATAAAAAGTCCTCAAAAGCTCTGGTAGTCATAGCCAAATGGGACTCTGAATTGTATTTCCATCTTACAAAAGACGGCTGGAAAGATAACTGTGTGGGAAGTGATCCGCTGCAGGGAACAGTCATGTCCTGGCAGTGAGGATGGACCAGATGACCTAATTTCTCTTTTCCATTAGAGCTGTCTCTGATTCCCCAACTAGTCATGCAAGCACATGACTGACAAGGATAAAAAAATATGGAAAATATATCTCCCAGCGTAACAAATAAATCCTGTTATTCTTGATTCCATCACCTTGAAAGCATTGATTAATTGAATGTCACAGAGTCCTATATCATTATGTTGGTCTTTTAGATGAAACCCTTAAAACTAACTTTTCATCTGCTCTGCCTGGAATTCAGAACTGCTTCCTCAGCTGCATGAGACATCTGTTTGATGCAGCTGATGAGTGAATACAAGAGAGATATGAGAACCGCTCAGAGAAGCAGTTGCACGGTCTATGGCCTGTTTTAATAATACCCCATACAACTCACCTACAAGATTTTGGAATTGCAGCACTGTGCTGACTACTTCTACATTATCATACCTTGTATACCTATGGCATGGGCTTGCTGTGCCAAGTCACAGCACTGAGGTCTGCAGAGTTGGTTGGACTGGCCTTCAGATGGCTTTTTTGCTGCTGTCTGTAAATCAGCCATGACCTGGCTGTCACGATCCAAAGGAGACTTTTCTTTTTCTTTTGCAAGTAGAATCTTCCCTGACCATTGCCAAATTTTCCTTTCCCATCACTTGGTGCTTCTTGCTGGCTGACTGTTCTCCCTCAGCCAGGTAGTCTGAGGTCTTGCAGTGTCAGATCTTATCTGGAATATGAAGAATTTTGAAATCAGCATTTAGATTATTATCATGGGATAGGTCTTTGTAATACATTTTATTAGCATAACCTCATACTGCAGAATTTGTACATGAAATTTTATTCCCTCTTGGTGCATCCAGTCTATATCATTCTCCATTAATATTATTCACATCATACCTACAAACAAAACCAAATACCAAAGGCCAAAGAATCCTGACTGTAGCATTAAGATGATAATGGATTACAGGAATGCACTTAGGAATACCTGCAGCTAGGTGGAGAGGTGAGGGTGTACAACATAAAGGACTTTAAAAAGCAGGGTATACCGACTGATAAAACACTATTGCTTTTTTGATGGAAACTACACAGAACCACACTGTTGTCTGAAAGTGGATGTTTACCCTTGAGATCCCTCACAACTCTGATCTCCAGTTACTAGATGGATGCTCATCTTGCCAACTGGGATCCAGGAGGAGCTTACCTCTCAGTTCCATTTTGGAAGAACTGTTACAAATTTTATTTCCTTCTCTGTAAGAGAAAGTGGAGTAGAGTGCTTCTCACTGGAACTTTATGTCATACTTTCTACTATTGCAGAACCAAGGGTTTCTGCAATGCCCAATTCCTCCTGACCTCTTCTTGTGCCCTATTTTTTTAATAGTTATGGCTTTCAGTCTTTAGGTATTTTGTGTTAGAGGATGTTGAAAGCTGTTTTGTGGCTCAGATTTATTGACTACACATTTTGTGGAGCCTTCTGAAGTCGATGTCTCTTACAGGCCTACCTGCATGTACCAAGTTGGACGAGTCCTGTATTCCATCGGCCCTGCTAATCTGCTCTTTCCTCCTCATGTGGGCCAAAGGAAGTACTCTCTCCACCCTCCCACCTGTGGAGCCAGAGACAAGGACAAGATACAGGCATATCAATTGTTTTCCATGCCCTGCATTCCTCTGCCTAAAGTATTTTCCTGTGCAAAGCTATCACAATTTCTAAAACAGTGAGAAGAAAATCTTCAAGCTCTTAAGAAATAAAAATAAATACATGTGCATCTCATTGGTTAATAAGAAAAATACTATGATAATGAAGAAAGTTTAACATTTAGAAATTAGGAATGTAACAGCATATGTTCTGTCTGTTCCTACTTGTTTTTTTCCTTGACTTGTGAAGTTTTTCCATGTTTTCCAAATGGAACAGAGAGATTGTTGATGTCCAGGGAAATTGCCTCAGAGACCTATTTCATTGAGACAAAAGTAATTAGTAGATGTAGTTTGATGTATTTTTCTTTGTTTTTCTTTCTTGACACTCAGCTTTCATATTCACTTGCACCCACCCACTCCCAAAACTCTTATTTGCTATTAGGAATTTGTTTACTTGCTTTCTTAATTTGAAGATCCTTGGCTTAAAACCACTACACATTGCTTTTAAACAATATTGCAGGATGAAATGTATTGGTCTGAGCCTTACAAAGTACAGCAACCCAAAGTTTATGCTGATTAATACTCGCTGCCAGTGGTGTCTGTTTTATTAACTGGGAATTGCTGGGGTACAAAGCTCCAGTGACAGCCTGTTCTCCTGGGCTGTGCCTGCTATGCTGACAACCAGTTCCTGCACTGGATATATGCTCTGGAGGATCCCACTGAGGTCACAGCTATAAGGTCAATTTAGTCCAACACAAATCCATACTGCCTTTGAAACCTTCTGTCTCACCTCTGCTTGTCCCTAGTGCCTCCCTTAGTCTGGCATCAGGCAGCCAGAATGCAAAATCCCATACAAGGATGGACACCTTTCCCTTATCCCTCCCCCAACCACATGCTGATCCCCAAACTGCATAGTTCCACAGGAAGAGAAATGCCTGGGAGGAGAGGCCAGGAGGACTCCGCATGGCAGTGCAAATTATGATGGATGAAGTGGCTATCTAACAAAAACCCAAGTATGAGGACTTTTTAACATCTCTATTTGTCAGACTCAGGGCAGGTTTATTTGTCTGGTTTGGTCTGGATTCTGGTTCTGGTCTTACAATGTTAATTGTTGCCTGAAAGTGAGTGATACCAGATTCTAATTCATTAGGGCTGCATGATCAAGTCTCTTTAGGAGTAATACTTTCCAACAGTGAAAGCTCCCAAGGCTCAAAAGTAAATTGCACAAAAAGAAGAGTTATATCTAAAAGACAAACATTACAAAAGAACCTTGGTATCCTTAGCAGAACTGTCAATCCAAATGACACCCAAGCAGAGCACAGGGATGGTAACCAAACATGTCTTACTACAATTTTCCGGTATTCTCTATGATCCAATTTCTTTCTACCTTCACAGCTGGGCTTAAGGGTGAAAAAAAATTTTAAGCATCAAAAGACAAACCTTGATTTATTGTGTGGGAGGCTGTTTCTGTAGTGTTCCAGAATGAAATGTCCTGGTACCGATGCCTGTAATCAACAGGAGAATATGGGATTGATGCAAGAAACAAATGATCTGGTAAGTATCCATAGAAAATTAGTTCACCAGAGAAGTTTAACTGATTAAAATGAAACAATCTAGAGCAAGACTCCTATTAAGTTCAGTTGGGAAATCAAGAGGATTTGGAATTATCTCTTTTACAACCTAAAAATGGGCCATATTCATGAGAAGTAAAAGGTGGGAAAATAGTTTCAATTGTGCTGGTGTTTGTATATGAAATATATATTTTATTTATAAGCATTATATTGTATATTTTTACATGTATTCACGTGTATATATGTTTTTATTTATGAGATGTTACCATGTCTGCTTGCAGAAGACTGACTCATTTCATGTTGGAAATTAGTTATAATCAGATACTAACAACTTTTGGTTACCAGGGACCTAGGCTGACCCCATGCCACTAACTACACATCATTAGCTGTAACTTGCAGTCCTCTGAGCCACTCCTGCCTTTGCATAACTCAGATTTCTGGACTCAAACAGAGACAGAAAAGTGTTGTTAAATTTTTGCATGAAATACATTGCTTTAATTACGGCATCTTAGGTGAAGACTATTTAGAAACCACATTTGACACAGTAATTACTGGTCATGTTGTCTGGAAAAACAGAAATAAAAGTATAAATCCCTAAAAACAGAGATAAACTATTTTCTGGATGTTCTTGTAGACTTAGATAAGAATAGCCAATTAAATACCTACTCTTTAAGTAAATTTAGCTTTTCAAATAGCTCATTTGAATATGGTTTAGGTTATTATAGGAAATACTAGAGGTTTGCACAGTAAACCCAGCAATATAAAATACTAATAAAGTCATACAATATAAAAAACTGCTCAGGTTTACTTACTACCATATATGCAGTATCTTTGCATTAATAGGAGCAAGAAAAGTAATATAAAGATCTTACAAAAACATCTCCTAATACTTAAATTGTTTTTCTACATTGCATAAATTGCACACAGACATTTATAAAGTACAGCTGCTGGTTTATGGCTTCATACTTTATTGATTATGATTTTTTTTATAGCTTATCATCACACCTTCATTGCTCTTATCATTAGACAATGTTGTCAGCCACTAACAAGGCAAATATTTTAATAAAAGCAGCTTAGTTTCAATAATTCTTTCGAGTCATAAAATCATTAAGGCTGGAAGGACCTATGGAAATCACCTGGTTCAACTCTCTTCCCAGACCAGGTTCCAGCTTCAAAGTGTCTTTCAAACACACATAATGCTAAATTGTCCTTAATACTCTACGTAGCATTAAAAATATTAATGTAGTCAGTTGTTCTCACTAATCCACTAACAAATATGTTTGTGTTATCCTGTGTTAAAAACTCAGCCACTATACTTATTTCATCTTACATAAACAGCAGTGTTGCTGGTTTTTTCTCTCAAGACCTTAATTTCTTTTATTTTTATAATATCTTATTTTTATTTTACACCCCTTACTGCAAAAGCCATTAAGTACAAATATGTTTATATGGTCAGTGGTGATGTTTTTATTCTTGGTGAACTACCATTGCATTCTGAAGGCTTGGTGAATTATGCTTTAGACTACTGCTCAGATATTCAGAAAAGCCAGTAATCTGTATTCTCAGGGGAAAAAGACTTGGATTTGTATCAGCTGTGGTAAATGAGAAAACATGTCCAACAGCAACACACTAAAATTCAACTGGCTTAATTTTGTTCTAATAACTTGAGTGTTGTAAAAGGTCCTGAAAAGTGATGTTTTCTTTATTCTTAGTTTAATTGCATCAAAAATAGTAGCAATGCATCCTTGCTTACACTGGCTTCAGCAATGTTTCTATCAAAAAAAAAGAATGGACTTTTGACCAAAAGGATGGTTTAATTTGCAGGGCACAGTCTGCTTATCTTACTAATTCCTACTGGGAAATGACTCTTACAGCAAGGCCTCTGCAAATACAGCTGGAAGAGGCTGGGTACCCCTGAACAGTCTGTACTCCTGCCAAAGGTACCCAAGCAGGGTGACCACTGGGACAAGAGTCCCGAGGTCTCATGGTGCAAACAATGCTGTCCTGAGATGGACAGTGTAAGTGGAGACCCATGGTATTCCATCACAAGTGTTACCACTTCTGTCTGACTTTTCTCAATGACCTCTCCTGGGGGAGACAATCCAGAAATCAAACAACTGTAGACCTTGATTCTGTATAACTATTTACACCTTTCACCCTTTTGGTTACCTGTATTTGTGAACACAAATAAATGAAAAACACCCAACCAACCAGACAACAAAATCAACTATGAGCGTACCTAAGAGTTCAGTGCAATTTAATTACAAATACATACAAGGACAAACCATACTCGCATCATTTAATTAGTCAAACTGGAACAGTTTTTGTGAAGCTCAAAGGGAAAAGGAAAGGAGAAGAAGGTATCAGGGGGACAAGTGCAAGAGTAAAAGCTCTGATGGCACCAGAGAGTTTGAGGGTTTTTTTCTCTGAAACTTTTTCTTGGTCACCTTATTGACCTCCTCATCTTTCATGGCCCCTTTAATGGCCTGTTTCAGGGTCCTTCTTTGCCTTGAGCCCACAGGGTCAGCTTTTCTCAGCATCCCAGAGAAAGCAAGAATGGTTACCCACTGCTGATATCTGACAGCAGAGTAAGTTTGATTCAGCTGAATATATAAAGATATATATTTTATATATAATATATAAAAAAAAAAATATATATAATCAGGTATACAAGTAGCATAAGATCCGAATCAAGCCTTCTGTATGTGTCTTAGAGATATGAACTGTGTCCTTTGAACCACATTCTTGATGATATTTGTCACACATTTCCTCAGCAACTTCAAAAGAGTTTGAGTCCTTTGATTACAGTGCTGTTTACCTACTATCTTAACTAACAGGCATTTGCTCAGAACAGACATTCTCTCAAAACACTCCCTTTATTATCTTTTCCTTCATGTGCAAAAATACTTTAATTTACAAAGAGCCATATTAACATTCCTGGTTAAATATAAAGCAGTACTCTTTTGAGAACAAAAATATTAGAAGAGTGATAACCAAGTATGAGTTTCTGTCCTAGATTTGCAGTAAACTCTGTGCCTCTGCTTTAGAGACCTTAAAAACTTCCTGCCTACCAGTTCTTCACCAATAACAGTATGCAGTCACATGTAAGAAACATGAGCTTGGTCTCACTTTTCATAAAGAAAATTACCTTGTCCCTATGATCATCACTTAAAAATGGGTCTAGCTCTGTGCTTGTTTTCAGGTTATTTCCCAGTACTTTTAAATTGGTGCTTTAAGTCAGCAGGTATATGATAACTATGGCACTTGGCACTTGCATTGCATATTTAATGTATATCAATATCCATGGTCTACCACTGGAAAACTGATTCACACACAGAAAGGTGAAGAGACTTAGTCAGAGGTCTCCCCACTTCTGTAGAGGTACCTTGAGTTAGTTTCAGCTGAAGAAGTATTTTGGCCAGTGGTTTCCTTACTGTGTCCCGTGAGCCAGTGCTATGGGCTCTGCAGAACCACATGGAAACACATTTTTAAGCAG